AGCATTCCTGCTGTATTCTACCCCCCACCCCCACCCCACCCCGAAACACAGGGCGCTCGGGGGAAAGCAAATGAAACTCTTCACCAGTGTTGAGGATGTCAGTTGAAGCCATAATGAAACAGCAACGCGGTTGAGAGGATCTGTGTGGGGACGTGCGTCGTGGGGTTTTTTTGTTTTGTTTGTTTCTTGTTTTTTTGTCTTGGGTTTTTTTCCCTCCCCTTTTTTAGACTGTATAAATAAACGAATACAACACAAGCTGGCCTTGTGTTGCTGGTTCCTCTTCAGTATTTCCTGGGGATTGTTTGCTTTTTAAGTAAAACACTTCTGACCAACAGCCCAGTATGTCTTAAGAGCAGAGGTCACCTCAGCACCTGCTTTGGAAACTCTCACAGTCGGCTGCTCCGCTCGGAGAGCTCACGTTCCCATTTTCACAAGCTTCGCTGTATTTATCTTGTGTAGAGCCGCACAAAGGAGATGGTGCTCAGTAACAGAAGTACCTTACTGCGATGTTCTTCATATTAAACAAGCTGTTTACAGTTTAAACTGCTGAGTGATGTTATTTGAGCTATTTAAAGCTTATATTTTAGTATGAACTAAATGAAGGTTAAAACATGCTTTAGAAAAATGCACTGATTTCTGCATTTATGTGTACAGTATTGGACAAAGGATTTTATTCATTTTTGTTGCATTATTTTGAATATTGTCTTTTCATTTTAATAAAGTTATAATACTTATTTATGACACCGTTAAAAATGTTTCTTGCCTACACTCTTATAAAATTTTGTGTCTCGAGGGAGGGGGGAGGGGAGGTGTAAAAAAAAGAAATTTGTGTCTCGAGTAATAATGACAACATGACCATTTTTAAGCACAAGGGAAGATTTTTAAGCAGTCTAACATAGGCTTGAAATTTACCACCATTCCCTAAAATGACAAACGATTTAAGCAATGTACATTTAAGTAGTATACAGACAGTGAAAACGAGCTGTTTGTATTTACCTATAACAATTAAGAAGGTGCATCTGAATTGATGCTGGTTTGTTGCTGTGGAAACAGCCTGCCCTGGCCTCTCATTGAGTCATAGGTTTGGGAGGCGGGAGGAGGCTGCGATGCTGTCGGGGAGGGTGCCTGTCCGGTGTCGCCTGGCCCTTTGCCTGTTCACCTCCCTTTCCTCTGCCCTGTCGCTGAAATCCAGCTGCCTGCCGTCCCCCGCCCCCGGCCCTCGACACTCCCCAGCTTCCTGGGTGACGGCAAAGCTCTCCATGACTTTAACTGCACCCCTGCCTGTGCTTGGTTTCTTCCAGAGTAAAGAGTGAGGACTCGGAAATGGAATATCTGGGCTGAAAGTCCAACTCCAGCTCTTTCTAATGACGTGTTGGGCAGATTCTTCGAAATCTCTGTACCTCAGTTTTCTCATTGGTAAAACTGGGGGAGAGGGTGGCAACTACGATCGGGAATTATCTGTGACAACTGCGTATAAACCAGTAGCTGGTACACAGTGAGGGCCCCGTCTGTGGATTGATTTCATCCTCACCCCACAAGTTGGGCGTTATTTCTGGCAATGGACAGATGAAGAAATGGGTTTGAGGAGTTCCTTCAACAGACATTTGTTGAATAACTACCAAGTGCTAGATCCTCGGAAAACACACCCAGGCCCTTATGGAATTTGAAGGAGTGCCTAGTGACCATTTGTGAGAAACGCTGGAAAGGAATGAACAGTGGTGGTGACAGGATGACAAAAGGGCCCCCACCTCTCTGAGGTGATGAGATCTGAAGGGATGGAATCTGAGCCGAAGGAAGCAGAGTGAACTGGGAGGCCCAGGATGGGGACCGCGAGGCTGGAGGGAAGCTGGGCATTCGCCAGGGGCCGGAAGTTACCCAGCGAGAGCGACAACAGGAAAGGGTAGCGGATGCCACTCAAAGGTCTAAGCAGGGGATGGATGGGATGGGATGTGTTTCAAGAAGACCAAGGGCTGTTGCACGCAGAACGGATTGGAAAGGGGGAGACTTCAGGACTGAGGCTGTCGGAACTGAGATCCAAGGGTACGGCGGTGGAGGTGGAGAGACACTGGCTTTGAAGATACTTGGAGGTAGAAATAGCAGGTGGTGATCTCAGGTGGGAGGCAGACCCAGGAGTGTGGCCCGGGCCACTGTGCCTGTCGGGGGCTCCTGACCACGGCACTGACACCGCACCATCTGCAGCTCGTATTTATTGCCTGTTTTTCCCACTCCACTGCCTTTTCTTTGTACCGTGGTCAAGACCATCTTTGATTCATTGCGTATTTGCTTCCCTCTCACCTTCATGTTTTTCCTCGATTTTGCGAGACTATTATCTTTTCCTGACTTTTCCTGGCCAGTGCCACTAGTGACCAGAACGCTATCCGTAGCACCGCTTGCCAACTCGGTCCTTGGCCAGCACACAGAGCAGATGGAATTCTAAGCGCTCCCCTGGCCTAGGGCAGCCCTGGGCCTGCTCTCTTAGTGTTGATAAGACCATTACGGGCGAGGAGACAGCCGGCTCTCAGCTGCCACTGAATGCACTGTTGAGTCCTCACTTAAAGACGGGCCTTACCTAGTCAACAAAGCTCTGGCCTGAAGTCAGGAAGTGCAGGCTCATCTCAACCTCCCACGTCCTCCGGGAAGGATTCCCTGAGCTCCCCTTCCCCATCAATGGGAGACCACAGCAGAGCAGGGCCCAGCCCTATGCAAACAGAAGGAATTTATTATTAGGGACCATTTCATGGCAGAAAGCAGAAGCTAAGTTCAAGAGGACTCCTTTGTTAAGTCAACCCAAAATCTGGATAATATTAAATTCCAAGTCTCTCTAGGCTGCAATAATCAAGTATGCCTTGCCGATCTTACTAAATTCCACATTCTGATGGAAGTTTAATCTTGTTTATGCGTTGCTTATTTCTCTTTAGGTCTCAAGGGATGTCTTAACTGTGTTATGAAAAGATCTTTTAAAAGGATGTTTCTTCAATGCGAGGGGCCCTAGTCAAAACAACAGAGCCATAGATTTTTCTAGAGCAATTCACAGTCGGAGAAAAGAGAACTACATCCACCTACTGGTTTAAGAATCAAAATATATATTAAGCTATTCTCTTATTTTAGTTCTTTTTTAAAAATTTTTATTTATTTTATTTTTTGGCTGTACTGCATGGCTTGCGGGATCTTAGTTCCCCAACTAGGGATCGAAACCCGTGTCCCCTGCAGTGGAAACACAGAGTCTTAACCACTGGACCGCCAGGGAAGTCCCTCTATTTTAGTTCTCAATTTCATCACATAATTTATTATATTAGGGTATATGGAGACATTTTCTTAAAAATAAGCTCCTAGCATGGTTATTTCATACATAGCTTTGTTTTTGTTTTTTACTTTTCGTTTTGAGATTAATTATAGATTCAAAAGTTTCAAAAACAGTACAGAGAGGTCCCCTGTACCCATTACTCAGATTTCCCCAATGATAACATATAATCATAGTCCATAATCAAAGCCAGGAAATTGACATTGCCACAACACACACACACACACACACACACACACACACACACACACATACAGTATTTTATTTAGCAATAGTTACTATCACAATGGACTTAGGGCCTACTTTTTAAAATTAACTTAGAAATTCATTTCAGCATTCTGTTAGGCATTTTGTGAAAAGCTAATAAAACTTTAAAACTATGTTGCCATGTAAAAATTTCTACATTATGGTAATGGCAACTGAGAAGATAAAACTGACTCATGTTGGTTCTGACCTGCCAAGATTTTCCACAAGATTAATTTGCATTAGCTCTAGTGAAGATATTACTTCAAACTTTGAGGATTCTTGAATGATTTTTCCTTTAAAGGCCTTCAGATAGACAGACTGAGGTTCCACACCTTTGAATCTGAATCATGTAACAAACCAGGAGGCAAACTGAATTTCCAATCCAGTACTAAAGCTTGGGAATGGGGGGCATGGTGGTGGTATGGATTCTTGTTTTTAAGAAAATAAGCTTAGGTCAAACTAAGATACACTCAGAGACTGGTTTGCTTTGCAGACTAGACCATTTGACAAACGTTCTGACCCTTTTCCTCTCCACATTTGAATCATA